AATTTGTTAGCTTCGAGTGGTCCCATTCAGGAAGAGTACTCTGAACCTCCAAACCGAGGCGGCTATATACATCTTGGGTAAACGAAAAAACCCAAACTTACTCTGCAGACGATTTCGGTAGCATCAATCCAAGTTCTTTGATACGATCGTTAATGTTGTAACGTCTTCGCCGTTCAACTGAAAACAGTTGAGTTAAGAAGTGGAGGAAAAAACAAAAAAAAATAGCGAAGCTATGGTTTCCAGCTTGATGCCTAATTTCACAACGAGAGGACACGTGGAGCTCAGTGAGCTAGGCAATCATTCGTCTTCATTTACCAAGAAACTTATCATCTTGGAACAGGACGTGCTGCTGTTGGAGGAAAAAAATTTTGCAAAATATGATCCCATCAAGATTTCTTCCTCTGGTACGACGCCCCTTTCCATCTCCCTTCTGAATTTTTCACCACCTCCGGAGACCCCAGAATTCGTCGCTTCTTCACTAATAAAAACTGCCATCTAGCTGGGGAAGGAGGGGGAGGGGGTAGCACGCGAAAAGGGAAGAACCGAAAAACATTCAACAACCGGAAACATTCTCCTCAGAGCCAAAGACGACCCCTCCCCTCGCTAGGGTCCCCAACGTACGATTGTGCCTTGTCTTGAAACGCTGGTACCATATCCCCTCAAGTGCATAACCTTACTACCAAAACATAGTTGGCCTAGAATCAATCAATATAAAACAGTCCCTACGCGCGACCAATTCTTAGGCGTCCTTCCTCGTTCAAGTAAATTGGTCCGTTGTCTCTAAGACTGTCCTATTTTCGCGGCATCACAGTAAGTAACGAAGGCACTGTGGCTCTCATAAGTGGCAGTCTGACGCCTCCCTAGTTGTTCCACCCACCGAAACTCGAAGGCTATTTTCTGTCACGGTTCAGTTTCTACACAATATTTTTCGCTTTTTTTGGACGGTATTAGCCTAGCATGACGGGGAGAAACGATCAGTGGGCCAGAGCTGCCAGGGTATCGCTTTGCTGGCATAAAACGAGCCGGTCTGGAGAACTCGCTTGAGGCTGCTAGGGGGTCCTTGGCAAGCTCTCCATGATTTTTTTTGCCCTGTTCTTCCCTGAAGAGTCGTTTAGCGATGACAGGTTTGTCTTCAGTTATCTACAACTAGATGATAGCGTTCGTTAACAGCGCTCTCATGAATGTTCCACAGGAATCTTCCCCGTAAATGCCTAGCTATGCACGAAGCGGACGCCTTTGGGAGAACCAACAACCATTGACGACCTTTGTTCATAGCGCGCCGAGCGTACAAAGGCTATGTTTGGTTGGTGATATTCGGCAATCTATCAATTACAGGCGCCACGTATACGATGCTCGTCCTGAAACCCAATTCCGCAACACCCAGTGTAATGTCAGAGGGCATCATGCACTTCACACTGATTGTGAAATTCAAAGAAAAAACGAAAAAAAATTTGATTGATTGACAAAGGTCTCTCAAGGAAGCGAAGCCGATAAAAAAATATTGAAGGGGAAGAGTTCAGTACTGATCACACTCTCTGAAACGCTTAACAAAACTATGCCGTTTACGAGTGTGCTCATTCGGATTTCACTCATTCAACATTTTTTTTGTCAAAAAAAAATCGCGCGCTCTCAAAGATCAACAGCAGCTCAGGTGTAAAGTGCAATCCCCGTACCAGTATTTCTAAGTTCTTCAGTACTTTACAATAAAGTCACTCTGATAAATTGAGTGTGGCACTTCGCAGTACTCTTGTAAAAGGAATCTATGGACTTTGAAAAAAAAAATGGAAAGACGTTGACCCTTCCAACACAAACCATAAAATATAAAAATTCAAAGGGTCAAAGGGCACGACGCTGTGTCTTATCAAACCTGCTTCCAGCTTCTTGCTTCTAGCGCTACATAGGAATACGGCTAGATATGTAACGCGCTTTCCGCTGTGGACGGGTGGGCGTGTCAGGCAGTATGAGTGCGCCACGCCCTCAAAGCTCTTCTTTACGTTCTTGTTGAAGCGCGCATGCTACAAAAAGTGGTAAAAAAAAACGAGTAATACGAACGATATGATACAGTCATGCTTGCTCTCTTCATCAACTGATGGAGAACTGGTTTGGCACCGCGCCAAATCATCCCGCCTGACAAGCCCAACCGTCCGCAGCGAACTACAATACACGTACGTCAAAACTCTTAGTGTGCCTGTAATTCACGAAGAATTGGGGCAGCTGAAAATTTTTGGGGCGAAAGTTCCGGCAACTCATGGAAAGTCGAGGGGGGGGGGGGGGGAAGGAAAGCAATTAAAGGGTGATCGTGTGTCATCTACGCAGGGAATATTAAAAAATGCAGGAGACTACCTTGATAGGGTATTTACAACTGGTTGCGGTTCTTGGAATTAGCAGTGTTTCTGAGCTAGTTGAACCACCAACGCGCACACTGAAGCCATTTGCTATTTGTGCGAATGCCGCGCACGGATGTCTTTTCGTCGCGCTTGTTAAATCTCCACTGACAAGTTACCCTATTTGGGGAGAAAGTGTATTCATGCCTTACCGCGGATGAATTCTTTTTTCCTCTAATTTAGGCAGGTCAAAAAATAAATAGTAAAGTTAAGGCTATACTACTATTTTATTTTCATATTTCGACGAGTTTGACTTGGTGGGGGCATGCTCCTGGTTTGCACTGATCACTGCCGATGACAACTATTAACTCCTAAACAGCAATGCAAAAGCAGGAGCATCGTTTACACACGTGCACAATGCCCCTTCCAAGACGAACAGCGGTCATATTTTGTATACTACTCCTCATGGTATTGCCCCAGTTGGGTGGAAAATATAAGAACACCGTAAACAAATAATATTATCGACAGAATGTCGAAACAGTCTCACTGGAGATTACCTATTGAAGAAAAAAAGTGCGCAGAACTTACTCATATTGTGAATATCCTTCTTCCTTCTGTCACGGTAGTAATCATCACCACCACCTCCTCCACCTTCTTGTGACGACTGCATGAGCATGGCATCCATATCGATCGAACTGGTGGGAGCTGAACTCGAAACCACCTGCCGGAAGTTTGATCCTAGTGCGGCGCCTCCAATAGTGATGGGGCTTCCCGAATGACCAGAGCCTAAAATAACCGCCATAGGTTACTATTTGGCACTGGAAAATTTCAAGGGAAGTTTTTGGCTTTCCTTTGTCAGATTTTTTCAGTTGCTGCTTAAAGTTCCAACGCCGATTCACGGTGAAAATTATACTCAAGCGTTCTTCAGGGTTCCTTAACAAACCGGATTCAGCCATGGCGACCCAGTAGTTTCCCGCCTTCACGTCAAGTACCACTTTGGATTTCATCCAATTACCATTTTATCGAGAATGATCTCCAGTCTTGTATTGTTTTGCTTATTCGCCTTCACGCTGAACCAACCCGCTTACCAGTTACACTTCTCACCCTTTCGTTCTTATCCTGAAGATGAATGGGCGTGGCTACGAACTTCATCCGAACTTAGCGCAACTGTGCAAGGTGCGGTTTTCGTAGGATACTTCTTTTTGGTGTAGGGACGACTGACACTCTTCCTACGCTCTCGGTCTGCGGTCAAATCGCGGACTGGCTCGCACCCAGGCTACACTTACGCCTTCTACCCATCTGGCAGACTGAAAATTATGCCCAGCATGAGGATAAGAACACTGAGTACATCGCGCCGGGCCCCCACTGTCATTGTGGTCGGCCACATCAGCACGCTCGAATTCTAATTGGCTGTAAGTAGAAATGCGTTTGCCGCATCCCAAAAGGATTGATTAACGGCGAAGACTTTGTTCTAATATTGTTTATATTATTTTAATAACGTCAATATCCCTCCTAGAGCGCAGCCACCAACAACCGACCACGCCCTCCTGATCTACGGAATACGCGAGATGCATTTAGCAATAAAGAAAACTAAACAAATTGAGACGCCTCGAAACAAATTGGTGGTTCAGTACTGGTCACATCGGTGTGATGGGATCGATGGTCCCCCATAGTACCAGTCCCCCTGTGCCCACCCGGCACTGTCAGCATTCCCGAGCAATCAAAGAAATTCAGAGCCATAACAAACTGCTACTGGGTTATTGAACGTAGCTGTCAGGCAGCGACAACATAAAGCGCCATGCAGTCGCTCAACGTACATCACACAAAAGGGAACAATTCTTATCTAACCCCCTCCCCAAACACATTACGAAACCTTTGAGTGAATGACTGATCATAATGACGTGGTATTTTGAATAAAAATCTGTAAACAGAATTGACTGAAAACACTACTTGTAGTACCGGATGATTGAGCGCCTGGAATTGGTCGAGCATTGGAGAGTTGCGTCAGATTGTCCGCAACAGATTGAATAAGCTGCCCGGTAAAGCTTAAAACATCGGTAGGTATATTAAAAAATGTTTTTCACAAAGAAAATGAGTCATGCCACGTAATAGAAGGACACAAGCGTTTTTATAGCGCGCTGAGTAGGCATGCGGAATGTCACAGTAAAATTTGGCGCAAATCGGCAAGGAGGGGGCAACCGAAAGACTTCTTATGCGAAACTGAAATTGCCGTTATGGAAATGAAAATTTCTTCTTCGCTTTGGGGCGAAAATGTCACCATTCGAGAATGGCTTGTTCGGGAATTATTTCCTCAACACGCTCCCACCCCTCCCCTCCTACCTCCACTGGTATGGACCACCAACACGACGACGTGTGGGTATAACGCGCCCGAAGCAGGGAAACTCAGCCACCGAAGAAATTTCGAAACCGCTGCTATATGGAGTCTCGAGTTGTGTGAAACGACTCTTTGGGCAGAGAATCAGCATGATGGCACAGCCTGCCGCTGAGGTAAACTTTCGGAAAATACGTCCCCCCCCACAAGTTCCCTCCTCTGCTACGCCTCCCCCTTTCCTGTCCTACCAACCACTTCCCTGGCTCCCTAAATTTTCCCAACTTCCTACGATTTTTTCTGAAAATTTCCAGAATTTTTCCAGTTTTTTTTTCCAAAATTTTGCCGTCGAGCGGTGGGAGGGTCATTCAACACGTGTGAAACGTAAAAACCCTCGACGCAACAACCCGATTTCTTTTTATTCTCCCAACGCTGTCTACGACCCCCCCCCACCCCCTAGCCACCTGAATACGACCTCCCCGCTAGGGACTCCACCAACGTAGAAGTGCCCAGATAAAGATCCACAAGGCTTCGTATATGATCCGTTTTGCAGAATTGGGGCAGGTTGGTTCAGTGGGGCACTGAATGGTAGCCAGCTAAGCCCGTACGGGACTTTGTGAAGACAAGTACTCTTGTAGCCACTTTTGTCGCATCGCAGCTTCGCACGAGTTTACAGGTCCACCAAACTTCCTAATCGACATGAATTGACAAAAGCCCCTTCCAAGCCGAACAGCACCCGACAGTTCCTTTAGATGCCACCCACCTTAGGTAAGCTTAGCTAAGTTTCAAGAATAGGGTTCTTATGGCTCTCTTATTAACCGCACAGACCCCTGAAACCCGCGATCAATTCCATGAGTGTATTTAAGGTGGCTCCCAAAATAGTTTTCGTTGAAACATCAACCCATTTTCGTTCTCTGTAATAACACGCTGACTAACTCCATCTAACTGGTTTCCTGACATCATAACACCTCAACTACTCGCCATATGGCCGAACCTAATTTATTTAATGCTTTCACTGAGACAACTCAATATTTCCCACTAAACAATGGCAATTTTTCCACATCTGCTTAATGATTCAACGTAAATTAGCATCCAATAGCGAACGAGGACATGGAAAATTAGATGTTAGTGCACAAGCGGACACCTAATCGATCCTTTAGAAAAGCGAAATCTGGGGAATATTGGGGTACAGTAGTTATCTATAGATGGTCCCTACGCGAAATGTTCATAAATCAATGAACAAAGGC